GGGGGTGTTATTGAGCAGGTGTGTCTGTGCTTTTAGTGCTGGGCGGACCCAGTGGTGCGCAGACTACATCATGCTTTGCCCTTAACCCAATAGCGATAGCCTTAGAGGGCGAAGCCATAATATAGGAACTAGAACTGAGGTTACCTACTGTAACCCCAGCTTCTATGAGTAAATGGCGCAGCCCTCTAAGTGCTGGGCCCCACTGGCTCTACGAATAGCTGAAGAAAAGTTATATTGTATGGGAGCAGATTGCCGGGCCTCCTTCCTATTTATACCGGAAGGAAGCCCGAGGGTGGGGCCCACCTTGCGGGTGGGCGTAGACTACAAGTGTTTCAGTGCTGCGCGGGGGCGCAGGGGGATTATCCAATAGCGATAGCCTTAGAGGGCTGCGCCATTTACTCATAGAAGCTGGGGTTACAGTAGGTAACCTCAGATGTTCACGTTGCCTCTTGCCTGCGTGCGAATTTTCAAATCTCTGGTAGGGTTCCACAAACCGCGATATGATTGGCCGTTCTAGCGATGACGTTCGCTGCCTGCGGCTTCGTCGCATACAGCAAGCAAAAATGCACAAAAAGCATCAAACCCGTGAGTCCAGTTGGGTCAAATCAAATAGGCTATATAATGTCTCAGTTCAAATCTTCCAGACGGTTTGAGAAGTAGGCTATGCTGCAGGACACACGCCGGTTAGAATATTCTATTCTGCACATGTGCAATGCTGCACAATTCAAATTGTACAGTAATGGGTTGTGCTATTACAGATGATTTTGAGTACCTTTACTGTGAAATAATAGTTAAATAATGTGAAATCCAATTTTACTGTAGTTTTATAGATATGTTGTTGTGATATTACAGGGGCTTTTGATTACAATATTTCTCTGTAATATGATACTCTTAAACCCTGTGAAATCCTTGCAATGTTTGCAATGTTGTTGTGATATTACAACATTTGATGTGATATTACAGAGGATTTTGATTGCAGTATTTTATTGTGAAATAATAGTTAAATGCTGTCAAATAAATCCAAGGATACAGTCCTTTTTACATGTATTTGTTGGGATATTACAGGGGGCCTTGATTACAATATGTCACTGTAAAATAACACTGTTAAATGTTGTGAAATGGTGGTAAATGTTTACAGTCGTGGATGTTTCAAATGTGAATGACAGGCGCAGACAGTTCTCATTGGCAGGTTTCTTCGATGACGTTTATATTAACCAATCAGGAGTGTTGTGGACTCATTCCAAACATGCCTGACTTGTCTGTCGTGTTTTGGCTGAATTCTATTTCAAGTGCCGTAGCTCTGGCTGTCGGCCAGAATCCGAAAACCATACATTATACTGTAAAACTAAGGTTTATTACTGTATATTGACCAATGGAAAAAACCCACATCAACATAATACATAAATAAAACAAGGATAACTGTGACTTATTGTTGAGTAAATTACAGTGTGTGTTTTAAACCTTGGTCCTCCCTGCAGAGATTTCTTCACTTTCTAGGATTTTTCTTTTTCATAATGATATTGTCAACTATAGATGTTTACAATATAGTAAGTTAGGAATTTCATGAAAACATATTTATTTACTTTTGCTTCATAATTGGATATTTTGTGTTTGTGGTGGATTCAATCGAATATTGAGAACATGATTTATGTAAAAAAAATGTAGGCCTACTTACATTTTACGTTTTTTTTATTTGACACTTTTTTTTACAGTTTTATGTTTACCTTAAAATTACAAAGAAATATCTTAAAGTCTTATAATAGTAATACACTTTTATATTACGAGTTATATATTTAATTACAGATAACAATTTTTATTTTACGTACATCTGCATGTATTTTCTGAAAGTTCAAAAATACTGTAAATATTATATAGTACATTTAGAGAGGCTATGCTGCAGGACAAACGCCGGTTTGAATAGTCTATTCTGCACATGTGCAATGCTGCACAATTCAACTGTTACATTAATGGGTTACTGTGAAATAATAGTTAAATAATGTGAAATCCAATTTTATTGTATTTTTATAGATATGTTGTTGTGATATTACAGGGGCTTTTGATTACAATATTTCTCTGTAATATGATACTCTTAAATGCTGTAAAATCCTTGCAATGTTTACAATGTTGTTGTGATATTACAACATTTGATGTGATATTACAGAGGATTTTGATTGCAGTATTTTATTGTGAAATAATAGTTAAATGCTGTGAAATCCAAGGATACAGTCCTTTTTACATGTATTTGTTGGGATATTACAGGGGGCCTTGATTACAATATGTTACTGTAAAATAATACTGTTAAATGTTGTGAAATGCTGGTAAATGTTTACAGTGTGGGGTTTTCACAGCTTCTCTCAACATGAGGTTGTAACAGTCTTATATAAAATAGAAATATATACAAATTGAAAAGTGTCAGTGGCGTCGAATTAAGCTGCACATGACATGTTAGAGGAGCATATGGTGCCATCAGCACACAGTGTAAAAAATTGACAAACAGGATTTATGTCAATTAGTGAGCCACTGGTGGGTGGATTGTGTTACTGTTGGCAAAACAATTTTCCTCAGAATATTTATTGTAACATATAATCAGCTTTTGAGATAATGTTTAACCATGATCAAGAATGTTTCAGGTTATTGTCACACCCTTGACAAACGGGTCTGCTATTCTTGGAAAGCAGAGGACATACTGTACCTTAAAGTAGTTGTAACAAAGGATTGGACCGTGCTTTATATTTGGACTTTATCAAATCAAATCAAGTTTTATTTATATCACATTTATAAACGATTTTTGGTCGAGCCAAAGTGCTGTACATATAATAAAAATAGCCTACAGTAGAGACACTTTACAGCAAATACAACAGCACAGATTGTTCAGAATATCAGTATGAGAAAAACGACACCCTCTATCCTTAGACCCTCACATCGTACAAGGAAAAAAACAAAAATATATGCCATTATAGAGAAAAAAGGGTAAAGAGTTGTCTTGACATCTTTAAAACTTTTCAGGAACAAATAAAAAAAGCAGGAATCAAACTAAAGATCAGCACACTTCATTAAAAGCTTCCAGCTATTTTTACTGTGCAACATTTCAATCCAACAGAGATTTAAATGCCAGACAAAGGTATCTGATAGATCAAATGTGAACAGTTACAGTTGCTGGGAGATTAAATATGTGCAGATCTTTTGTCTGGTTCCTGCAGAGTCTTGTGCGGCAAGTACAAAGTGGAAATCATCATTAATTACTAGATTTGATATTTGCTCTTTGATACACTTGTATGGATCAACTGGAGCTTCTGATTTAGTGTGATTGACCAAATGATCTCATACAAATTCTAATTAGACCAATGCAACATACGATCTTATTATTTATAATTCCAGGGACACATTTAGCGGATTTGATATAAGCAATAAAAATACCCCTCAGGAAAAATACAAGATGACCGCTCACCCTAATATGTTATGGAGTAGGTGCAGGCCATAGACTGTAAAGGTGCAGACACACACTCAGGTCAATAGGTCATCGTTATTTATTATGAGACAGAGCTAAACGCTATTATGTTTAAACTAGGGCCGGGACTCGATTAAAAAAATTAATCTAATTAATTAGAGGCTTTGTAATTAATTAATCGAAATTAATCGCATTTTTAATCACATATAAATATTTGACCTGAGAACAGAGAAGCAATTTTTTTCACATGGATTTTAGTATACCATTAGGCGCATTCACACCGCAGTACTTTTCCCACAAAGGTTCATGAGAATTTAGTTCATGAGAACTCTTTGAACCTGGGGGTGGATTAGGCAAATGAAGCCGCTGACGTCACTTCTTCTTCTTCTGCTTTGGGTTTACTGGCAGGCCGCAAACCACTTCACGGCGTATACTACCGCCCAAAGTCCCCGGCCGGAAGTCCCCGGAGTTGGGGACTGGCTTCAGTAGAAGCTGCTGGGAGTCCCAGCAGCTTCTACTGAAGCCTTCCGAGTAAATCGCCAGAACGCCGACACCTCCTCATCTCCACCGCTCCCATGTTTTATTTTGTGTTGCCATAAGTTAGTCTCTCTGTGTTTCTGCGCTGGGCTAATGCTAATAATGCTAATGCGAGGATATGGCGACAATGGCGGCTTCACAAACTTTTTGGGAGTTTTACGGGGCGTGGTTTGCAATCCTCCCAGCCAATCAGACATATAGCTCTTTTCTCACAAGAGAGTCGTACGAAAGTCCCTGCTCTCTAGCAGCTCTCTGCTCTCTAGCAGGGACTTTCGTGGGGGTAAAAAGGTTCTCATGAACTAATTTTAGTACCGGCTCTTTTTGGTGTGAACGCGATAAAAGAGGCTAACGTCCACGCTAGCTTCCACGCTAGCTGCTATATGTTTTGCATTGAGGTGATACTTGAGGCTTGATGTGCTGCGGTGATATGCGAATTCCTTTTTGCATAATTTGCACACAACCGTGCTCTTATCGACGCTTCCATCCGTCCGTTTTTTAAAACAACATTTCCCACTGTTGTTCACTGTGGTTTGTTGTTGTCTGAAGTCATGAACGTTAGTTGGTGCTCCAGTATAATCGGTACGCCTGAAACTCATCCAGTGAGAAACGTTCCGCGGTGCAAAAATAAGTGCGATTAAAATGCGTTCATTTTTTTAACGCGTTAATTTTTGTGTAATTAATTAATCTTAATTAACGCGTTAAAGTCCCGGCCCTAGTTTAAACTGAACAAAGCTATATTTTGTCAAACGTAATCTAAGCTAACATGTTGACATAGATGTAGATCGTACTTTATGTTTATTTGGTGCAAAGTGGACAGTATAGGCTATATAGTAGTTTCATTGTGTAACTCTTTTTTTTATCCAGGAACTGTATGTGTCCTGTTAATGTTCTCAATATCGGTTAATTAGGAAAATCTCAGCCAACACTGAATACAGCAGGTATTGGTGGGATGGTTTAGAAGCTGTAACAAAACCACTCCTTTTTAAAAGCCCACTTCAAAATCCTTCCACAGTGTGCAAGGAGCAAAAAGCCAACACAAACAACATGACTGACTATGAGGTTGCAACTGCCTTTCTCGGGGAATGGGGACATTTCCAGCAGCAGGTGTTTTTCCTACTCTGTCTCACCGTCATCCCTAACGGTTTCAGCGGCATGTTCATCGTCTTCGTCGCCGATACGCCGCCCCACCGCTGCGTCATTCCCGCAAACGTGAACCTGACGGCGGCGTGGAGGAACCACAGCATCCCGCTGGAGCTGGACAGCAACAGCGGCGCGTTGGTGCCCAGCAAGTGCTCCAGATACAGGCTGGGAGATGTGCTGAGTTTATCGGACAGAGGCTTTCTGCCCGGGGTCGACGTTAACATGTCTAATGTGCCGACTGAGAGCTGTTTGGATGGGTGGGAGTATGACCAAAGCGTGTACATTTCTACCATCATAACGGAGGTTTGTGCACAGGTCTGCGTCGCTTCTGGGATGCAGCTGACACTGAGATGACGCATGAGGAATGTATATGATATTCATAAAGGAAGTAGGCTATAAGCAGAGGCGGCAAAGGTTCTCAGATCTTGTACTTGAGTGAAATAACCGGAGTGTGTAGGATAAGAACATTCCTTCATTTGAAATGTAACTGAAGTAAAAGTACAAAATAATAAGCTTCAAAATATACCATACCATACTCATTATGCAGATTAGCCCATCCCAGAATAATATTTATCATATGTTTTGATTATAATTATTGATACATTAAAGTGTTATCAAAAGTGGTACAGTTACAGCTAGTTAATTACTCTGTATACTGCAAGGTAGCATTGCATTTACTCCAATTGTAACTCAATTATAAATTATATTTCACATTATTAATCAAAATATGCGTAGTAACTAAAAGTATTAAATAAATGTAGTCTACAATATTACCGTTGAATTGTAGTGGAGTAGAAGTACGAGTACGACGTAGCATACAAATTCTCAACATTTTACTCAAGTAGGCTACAGTAGCCTACTTAGTAATTTAGAGTTTTTAAATTGAGTGCAAAAACTACATTTCATCTTGATGTTGCAATAGATTCAGAGATATTTTCAACATCTACAAGAAATTGCCTCACATATAACATTAATTGTTCAGCCACCAAGTTATCAATCGTTGGAAACTAAAAAAATAATGTATTACATTTTCAAAGATGTGTCTAATATTTGTTCCACTCTCGTTAGGTGCATATTTGGACATAATAAATAAAACACTTTTTATTTCCAGTAATAACAAATAAATAAGCCATTAGGTTATAATTGTTAAAAAAGCCAACATTTCAAATTTCTGCAAAGTAAGTTTATTTTGATATAACTATGATAATTGTTATGATTATACACATACAAATACAAATGCACTCCTGTGGTACTTTTTAGACCGTTTTTTGATAAGAAATTGCTACTTTTTGTGAAGACTTAAATACTGCCTGTGTGTTTTCAGTGGGACCTGGTGTGTGACGACAGGTGGAAGAACCCGCTAACTTCTTCCATCTTCTTCTGTGGTGTTCTCACTGGATCCTTCGTTTCGGGGCAGCTCTCTGACAGGTGGTGAAAGATTAACTTTCGTTTTTCAAAACGTTAATCACTAAGTAAGCACTTATTGTATAAGTTCAACAGGGTGGGTGGAGGGGGTCTGGAGGACGGGCTTGGGCTGACAGCGGAGGACCCGGAAGGGGTCTCGGGCGGACGGCCCGGGGGCAAGGCAGAGATCAAGGATGGGGTCTCGGGCGGACGGCCCGGGGGCAAGGCAGAGTTCAAGGAAGGGGTCTCGGGCGGATGGCCCGGGGGCAAGGCAGAGTTCAAAAAGGGGGACTCGGGCGGATGGCGCGGGGGCAAGGCAGAGTTAAAAAAGGGGGACTCGGGCGGACGGCCCGGGGGCAAGGCAGAGTTCGGGGTGGGGCGAAGGCCAAACAGGGGAACCTCCAACAGCACAGGACATAGGGTTGGCAGGACCCCCGGCAGGAGAGCAGTCTGCGGGACCTCCAACGGTACAGGACATGGGGTTGGCAGGACCCCCAGCGGAACCTCCAACGGCACTTGCATAGGGACTTGAGTGGGAACTCGAGAGAGGGCTTGAGGGGGAACTAGAGAGGAAACTTGAGAGTTGACTTGAGAGGTGACTTGAAATGGATCTCGAGAGGGAACTTGAACGGAGACTCGAGAGGTGACTTGAGAGGGGACTCGATAGGGAACTCGAGAGGGGTCGCGAGAGAGGGCTTGAGAGGGAACTTGAGAGAGAACTCGAGAGGAGACTTGAGAGGTGACTTGAGAGGGGACTCGAGAGGTGACTTGAGAGGGAACTCGAGAGGAGAGTTGAGAAGTGACTTGAGAGGGGACTCGAGAGGTGACTTGAGAGGGGACTCGAGAGGGGACTTGAGAAGTGTCTTGAGAGGGGACTTGAGAAGTGTTTTGAAAGGGGACTCGAGAGGGGACTTGAGAGGGGACTCGAGAAGAGACTCGAGAGGGGACCTGAGAGGAGACTCGAAAGGGGACCTGAGAAGGAACAAGAGGAGACTTGAGAGGGAACTTGAGAGGAGACTCGAAAGGGGACCTGAGAAGGAACAAGAGGGGACTCGAGAGGAAACTTGAGAGGGGACTCGGGTAGGAACTTGAGAGGAGACTTGAGAGGGAACTTGAGAGGGAACTCGAGAGGAGACTCGGGTAGGAACTTGAGAGGAGACTTGAGAGGGGACTTGAGAGAGGACTCGAGAATAGACTCGAGATGGGACCTGAGAGGGGACTTGAGAGGGAACTTGTGTCGGTTGGTACGCCGACAGGACACAGGGAGCTGGCGTCGGCTGGAGAGCCAGCAGGAGACGAGGTGCTGGAGTCGGCCGGTAAGCCGACAAGACTCGGGGAGCTGGCGTCGGCTGGGGAACCAGCAGGAGACGAGGTGCTGGAGTCGGCCGGTACGCCGACAGGACTCGGGGAACTGGCGTCGGCTGGAGAGCCAGCAGGAGACGAGGTGCTGGAGTCGGGCGGTACGCCGACAAGACTCGGGGAGCTGGCGTCGGCTGGGGAGCCAGCCCTGTAGCCGAAACTAGAGTCGGGCCCATGGCTTCTGGGACCGGTACTGAAGCCGGAACCATGGCTGCTGGGGCCGGAACTGAGGCCGGAACCATGGCTGTGTCGGCCGGTTCTGTTGCCGGAACCATGGCTTCTGGGGCCTGTACTGGAGCCCGAACCATGGCTGCTGGGGCGGAACCAGGGCTGGAACCATGGTTGCTGGGGCAAGGACTGGGGCTGGAACCATGGCTCTTGGGGCTCGGGCTGCTAGCTTGGCCTTGCGACTCCTTCTCTTTGCATCCGCCTGAATACTCCGTGGACCTCCATAAGCCAGACGAGTTCCAGAATACGACTCCTGGACAGGAGCAGGAACTGGGGCAGAAGCATGGGTTGATTTTAGACGGAAGCCACCGAGGCGTATGGTACCAGGTTGGGAATTGGGAGACAGGGAGCTAGCATGCCTGGGGCTAGCAGACCGGGAATCACACACCGGGTAGATCTTTGAAATCCAGCCAGGTAAGAACTTCACCAAACCTGGTTTCTCTCTAGCCATCAGGCGCGCCTCCGATAACACAGCCTCTTGCTGCTGAACTCCGGGTGCTCTCTTCCATCGATCCGAGCAATTAGCCAAAAAAAAGGAAAAATTTAATAATTCCAGCTCGAACGGATCTGCTGGGCCCATTTCTGGGTTAGTTCCTTCTGTCAGGGATGAGCGAAGCAAGCAGGACCCAAATGCAGATTAACAGAAAATACACCTTTATTCCAAGGCAAATATGAGACAAAACAGAACTCTTCCCCGTGAACAACGTCAAACTACAACAAGGAACTAACACAGACTAACAGAAACCACAGAACCTAAATGCACACATGACTAATCAAACAAACAAGAGACAGGTGAGGAAGGAGGAGAAAACACAGGGGCACCAGGTGAACACAATCGGGTAATCAGGGAGGGAAAACAGACAGAAAGCAACAGGCAAAACAGGAGGTGAACACTTTTCAAAACAAAACAGGAAACCAAAGACAGAAAAAGACAAGACAAAACACAGACAGATCTTGACAAGTTTTTATTACAGTGTATTTTTTTTAACATAAATTAAATTGTTATCACAAAAAACAATGGACACTTCCATTGTTACATTTGATCCAGCAAAGAGTATTTTCAAAAACTAATCATATATTTCATTTATATTGTTGGGGAATGAGTTAAAGACAATATATATAAGGAATTGTGCATGTTGAATTTAGTTCTGTATTTTTTTTAAACCCTGAAATATGTCCCAGGTCAATTTGACCCGAACATCAGAGTTCCCGTTAGAATATTTGTTTGCCGGTCAACATGTCCGTTAAAGTTTAAATCTTCCGGACAAAATGAGAAAAGTGCCGGTCAAAGGTCTTCTTTGTTATTTATTGTGCTTTAAAACATATTGATATGATTTGATATTAAACAAGCTAATTATAGTAGATTAACCACATTATTCAAAAGTGTACAGCAATTTATAACACGGGAATAATACACGGAGCGCTCTCTCCTTCTCCTGACAGCCAGTCAGTATCATGCAGCTCGCGGATCAGTAATGAGTGACCCGACAGTAAAACTGTTGACCTTTGCATCTACTTGCATGGTCATTTACGTGTGCTTTGTATCATTTTTAGGTTTGGGAGAAAAATAGTGTTGTTTGTAACCATGGCAATCCAGACAGTGTTCACATTCATCATGGTCTTCGCTCCATCCTGGCCCGTGTTCTGCGCCCTGTTCTTTATTGTCGGGATGGGACAAATCTCTAATTATGTGGCTGCGTTTGTGCTAGGTACTTTTGTTTGCCTCTATTCGATGATTTCAGCTGTATTTAGTTGCTAACTTGTCCATGAAAAATAATTTGTCATTCATTGCCTGTGCTTTAAATCTCCCCCCTTTTCTCCTGTGCTTCAGGGACAGAGATATTGAGCCCAAAAGTTCGGACAATTTATTCCACCGCAGGTGTGAGTCTTTTCTTTGCTGCAGGCTACATGTTCCTGCCACTGTTAGCCTACTTCTTGAGAGACTGGAGGATGCTTCTCTTAGGCCTCACCCTGCCTGGCTTCCTCTATGTGCCTCTCTGGTGGTAGGTAGGTGTGTTTGCTTGAATGTGTAGGGTTCTTATTTTTCTAGTAGATTTTATCTCTGGCTGTGTTTCATTTCAAGTGTTTTATTTTCTACAGTGTTGAGTGGTGTATAGTGTACAGCGTTGCTTTAAGTATTACGTTCATGAAGGTCAATCAATTAATCAACATAGTTCCTGTCAAAATGATGAATTGGAAATGGGGGACCCTGATGTAAACAAGACGAAAGTCTTTCTCTGGTCTGCATCCCCTTAACAATTGTATGTTTTGAGCTGTACTGTACTGTACCCAATATACAAGCTGTTAATAAACTTTTCAATCAATCAATCAATCAATCAATCAAAAGCTAAACAGATTGTTTTTTTAAAGCTGAACAAATTTCCCAATTAATCACGTAGTTGATAAACATAATAAATACAGTCCTTCTTTGATAGTAAAATATAAATGTTATAGGGCTGTGGTGTTGTGACATTAAACTTGTGACTATGACATTATGACAATTACTTTTTAATGTATTTTTTTGATCTACTCTATCATATTAAAATGCATGCATAATTGTCGGATTAGGTATACATTTAAGAAAAAGTGTCATACATATATATGGTCACTATATTCACAATGTAATAACAGTAACATCATTGCAACAGCATCAGCCTTTTTCAACTTTATCAAGGCTTTGTTAGGTATGTTTTACTTTTATGGAGGATCATTTGAGCAGTCAAAGGACTCGGAATAAGGTAAAAGAAAATACCTTTACCGTACAGTAATAATTTCTCTCTTCTGGGGGATTCAACATCTGTCTCTCTCTCTGTTGTGTACTGAGGCAGGTTCATCCCAGAGTCTCCTCGCTGGCTGCTGTCTCGGGGCAGAGTGGAGGAGGCAGAGGCCATAGTGAGAGATGCTGCTAAAAAGAACAAAATCAAGCCACCGCCGGTCATCTTTAGTCCTTTGCAGGTGAGATCTCACTGCAAAAAAACTGTTCATGTAAATGTATAAAAACTGGGCACAGGGCCTTTTCCTAATATGATAAGCCAGTATCATATTTTTTTACTTAGTACTTTATTTTTTTATTTTTTTACTTAAAAATGTATTCAAAAGATGTGGTGTTGGGTTGTGAATTATCAACAATTTAGGAACTGGACAACCTAAGAAAAAACTGTCAAAACTACAACACTCACATTAATATGATCACACTACCTATTTGATTTGTATTTTTTGAGAATTATGACTAAGGGGAGATAACAAATAAGACAGGTTACAATTTAAACATAAACTGGAGAAATCTGTTTCCTTTACCTCTACTCCTAATTACTACAAGAATCCCCCCCCCCCAGTCTTCATTGCACATTGAACTTTTGCCTTTAATCCTGATCCAGACATTTGGGTACTACATGTGTGAACACGTGCACATGCATGTGGTCACTCAGCAAGTGGCCATTCATACACAAGCATCTCTCTAATGAAATTATTTCTAGAGTGATGGCTCTGCTTGCTAAGTGTTTGTTATTCTGAGGGCTCTGCTGCCCCACAGAAAGAACTTCAATGCGAGACGAGTAAGGCCCTCAACATCTGTGACCTGCTCCGTTCCCCAAACATCCGCTGGATCTCCCTCACGCTGTGGCTGGTCTGGTGAGTCCCTGCTGACCCCCCACATTCAGTACAGTGACCCTGCATGCACAAATACACACACGCAGACATATACTGAACACACGCTGTTCCAAACGCACATACGCACACTGTTCAGGCCCAATGACAGTCCATTGAACTAACAATAAATAATGACCTGTCAGGTGCTGTGAAGCCTGCAACTCAGATCAAAATCAGGTTTCATAACTGCACAGTATGCCTGTATTAATCCTGTGCTCACTTCCTTACTGAAAACTGATGCAGTTTGATTTAGAAACAGTTTAACTTAGTCTGACGGGAAATAAGTCGTAATCTCCATATCCTTCGTCATAGCAGGTTGATAAGTTACAAACTGCATGGACATTCTTTCTGAAAGAAACACTAACATTTCAGTTTTTGTATCAGTCATCACCATAGACTGTATCACACCTCAAGTGGCTTATAAGGGCCATTGTAATTACGTTTGAAAAATAAATCAAAGCTGGGAATGGGTTGGTAATATTTAGTGGCCCCAATTTGCAATTTGTGAAACACTAGATGAGAGTTTCTAGAAAAGGAACAACAATAATATGAGTTTAATTTGTTTTCTGACTACGCTGTTGTGTCATGCCTGAGATCTACTAACTAAAAACGTATTCTAAATTGATATTAATGTTTAAAATGCATCCCCACAGGAACACCTTGACCATTGCTTACTTTGCTCTTTCCCTGAACACGGCAAACCTTCACGGTAACGCTTACTTCAACTGTTTCGTGTCAGCTTTGGTTGAGATACCAGCCTACACTTTGTCTTGGGTAATGTTTCGCTGGTGGTCCAGACGACTGAGTCTCTCATCAACCCTCTTCATGGGAGGAGTGTTTCTACTCTTCGTACAGCTCATGCCAGCAAGTATGCACCTTAGAGGAAGCATTTTCACAGTAGATTAACAAAGCTTTGTGCCTTTTGTCATTTGTTTGTCTATGTAGGTTCACTCATTATATAGTATTTTTAGATGTAAAATGTGTCTGATTTCTCAATTGCAAGCAAACATAATTGCGGATAATTGAATTTGCATTTTATATAACTCAACTTACAATGTAACCTCTGAATGCTTTACCCGCTCTAGACCTGGTTTATCTCTCCATAACACTGGAGATGATGGGGAAGTGTGCGGTGACGACAGCATTTGCTATTGTATACGCATACACAGCTGAACTCTACCCAACAGTGTTGAGGAATACGGCCTTGGGGGCCTGCTCCATGGCCTCCAGAATAGGCAGCATCATTGCCCCATACTTCATTTACTTAAGTAAGGAGGCTCTCACCTCTGCCTTATTTTACACTTCTTACATTTTCCCAAGCATATCATTATTTGGATGCACAAAGCTGTTTCTTACCCAACTGACCTCTTGTTAGAACAAGCTGGTACCTCCACTGAAACAAAACAGAACAAAAGTCACAAGAACAAAGAATCTAAAAGCAGGCTTGATTAGCAACCACATCGGATAGACTAACTCTTTCACTTCAAATTTAGAGGCTTCTATTTAAAGATGTATTGGATTTGATTTAAAGTACTGATGCAGCCACATAAAATCCTTACAGTCTCTATACCTTTTGTCTTTTTGTTGTTTTTAATTGCTGTGGCCATGGTTGTTTTTCACTGTCTCCTCCTTTGATGTGCTGCCACAGGAAGCTATTCCGTTTCACTGCCTTACATCCTGATGGGAAGCATTACAGTTGCGTCGGGGTTGCTGAGCCTCCTGCTGCCCGAGAGCTATGGAATGCCTCTGCCTGACACCATCAGTCACATGCAACACTTCCCCGGGTAAAACTGCACCTTCCTGTCACGAAATCTCCCAGAAATCATTGATATTATTTATTAAACATAATCATTTGTATTTTAATTACAATTAACATAAACATTTGCTGGATTTGGTTTTCGAATTTTCTTTTTTAAAAAGCAAATATGTACTTGGCTCAAAACTCATTTGTCTACAGGCATTACAAGTAAATCAAAAGAAAGAAACATGGCTAACTGTATGCTTTAAATCTGAAATATATATTTGTATGTGAATGAAAGACAGAAAATAAAAACAAAAAAATATGGCCCCCATAAATAAATAATAAAAACAGTCCAAATAACCAATTTTCTACAAATATAAATAAATTACAATTCATCATATTCATAATAAAGACGATTATATATTAACATATTAAGTTGGATTAAAAGTTGATGGCTAACATTATAAAAAAGCGGCCTAGGATATGTCCTTATATTGCCACCATATAACTTCCACTTGGTAATTTCCTTTTCTAGTGCCTTCAAGAATGATCTTTTCACGTTATCAATTGCTTTTATAAAAAATAAAAAAGGCAGAATAGTCTAGGTCTGTATTCTAGCAAAATTATAATTGTCCCTGCTATATTCCTGCACTCGGCTTCAACCCACCAGGGACATTTATTACAGAAACTAAAAATGATATACTCACCACAGCCATAATTATGTGTAACCAGATGAAGGCAAACAGCACACTATAGCAAAGCCAGCTTAACATGAATAATCATTTTATGAAATACGCTTCTTTATTTTCTGACAGTCTGATGAGAAGATCAATACCAGAAGGCAAATATATGTATTTCCAAATAATATAGATCAGTGGTTCTCAACTGGTCAGGCCTCGGGACCCACTTTTTACTTGGTCAATACATCGCGACCCAACATTTTGAAGCACTCAAATCTATTCAACAAAAAATCGTGCTGTAATATATACGCTTTTCAGCATACAATATTATATCCCTTCACAGAACTAAAGTATGCTTTTAAAAAAGGTTTAATGAGATGATGGAATCAAAGCTGAACTATCCCGAACTGATCCCAGCAGGGGGTCTGGGGGGATTCTCCCCCAGGAGATTTTTAGAAATACTAACATAAACTATGCATTCTGGTACACTGAGAAGAAAATAAATAAATCTATTACTACCCGACATATTAATAATATTTTATGCCATTGTTTGTTTTTCACTTTGTTCTGACATCTTGCTGCGAGAAGAGTAAAGAGGAGATTGTGGGTAAGGGTAGATAGCTCCCATTGTTCTGTGACCTGTCAGTCATCAAACCGGGGGTCATATTTCATTATGTGTTCATTTCTATCTGAAGTTGTAACCATGGATGTATAAAAAAGAGTTCTACCGCAAAGTTATTCTCCGTGGGGACTTCCGGCAACAATCTTGATTCTGATTGGCCAGAAGACTCGAAAAAACATCAGCAAAGATATTTTATTGAGAAGATGATCACTATGTGACAGAAGTTTTCAAAACCGTTTATGGTCTCCGGTACTTCCAGTCCAACTCCGACTGCATGCACAGCGTTAGAAAATCGGGTCTTAAAAATAAAAGTTTGACTTTTCCCCCAAAAAAAAAAAATCCAATTTTTTCTTCACTCACACATCCGCGACCCACTCTAAACGGGTCCGCGACCCACTTTTGGGTCGCGACCCACCAGTTGAGAACCACTGATATAGATATTATAGTTATAATTATATTGCTCATACTTAGCAAATTAGTCTTATTAAAATGGACATTCAGATTGATTTAAATAAACAAACATCTTGGCAGTGATTGTGTTTTTTGTAATGATATTTTTTATTTGTGTCACATAGTCATTAAGTGTCTGTCAGTGATTAACAGTGCTTGACTTAACTGCACGTATCCAGTTTAATTATAAACTAAATTGCATCTCTAACCAGTCACACTGACTCAACACATTACATTATGTGGTAATTCACTCAGTGCATTCAGGCCTCAACAGCACTGTTCAGTATCTGTGAACCATTACTGCATCTGAATCAATGTTTTCTTTATTAACCCTAGATGTTGTAAGAAGACACCCTATAAACTCACAAACACAGAAGAAAAGGAAAAGGTTGCAGAAGGGACGTTTTCCCTTGAACAAGGAGCCTCACTGTTATCTGCCTGAAGCAAAAACTGGATAACCATCTTATCTCCTTACACTTATAATACCTGAGAATAATAACAATTGATGTCACTAGATTTGTGAAAGCATTTGACTTCAACTGTACCATGGAGCTTGAAAGTTATTTTTAACCTCATAAACATGTACGTAACCTATAAAAAGTGATGCCACCATCATCATATCCTCTTAACAGTCATGTAGATGATGAGGATAAGGAGGGGTTGGTTTTGGTGACTATATTAAAGAATGATATGAGATGTTTTGTTTGTTTGCCATTATCTTGTCTGAACATCCAGTATCAGGAAGTTCTGTGGTTGTTTGGGTACATTACCTTGTTGTTTTTTTCTGCTACGGTGACTATGTTTTACCCCATAAGCTACTTTCTCTTGTTTGCATCTGTTGAATAGTTTGAAGTTGTCCACCAAAACTCTCTGCCAGGAAAATAATAGTAAAGGCAGGAACAACAGCCAGAGTCCCCAGTGTGATATAAGGCAGGTATTCAAAATATTCACCTGTACAAGGAGAAGGGGAAAATAAAAGTGTGTACAGAGCATCCAAACAACAAATAGGTGCTGATTATCCACATAAATGTGTCGATGTGCTTACACAAATTCAAGTTAAACTACATAGTATGGGAGTAATGGGAGGCGTGTGGCGCAGTGGAATAGTGCGCTGGTGTTTGGATCAGGGGGTCACAGGTTCACCCCAAATTGCTCCTGTGGGGATTGCCCACAGTATTGAGTATGTAAGTCGCTTTGGATAAAAGTGTAGTATGTAGTACCTGATATTGAAGACAAATTGACTCACTCAGCTTAACAAAAAAGGAGCAAGGCAGCTTCCTATTCTGGAAACAGTAATGCAAACGCCTGTCACTGTGTTCCTGAGCACTGTTGGGTAAAGCTCTGCAGTGTAGGCGTACATCAGGGATGTACCGTTGGTGATAACAAGTGTACCCATCTCCAGAGCGACAGCCAGCTCTGATAAAGCTGAAACGCAAGAAATTGATTAACAACAGAATAGAATGAAAACAATACCTGCCCCTAAATTATCTACTCTGTGAATTATGAACTGCATTATGTTGGCCCAGATTTTTTACAAGAATAATGCATTGAATACAAAATATTATATCTCTGTATCCAGCACAATTCTGACAATGTTATATTAGTGCATAGCTGAATCCGTGGAGTACTCTAAGACTGAAAGCATTTGCTTGGAAGCATTGCAGTACCATGATGCACCATATCATGACACTGCTTACTTTGAGGCACCAGTTGAATACGATACAGTGACACTCCAAGGAATAAGATAAAGATGACAGAGTCGGCGTGGGAAGTATTTCAGTGCCAGCCAGCAGGAAATGTAAGCTGGAGGTTTTCCAGGCACTTCAACCTACCAAGACACTCAGAATATGCTCTGGGAAGACATAGGTAAGGAGGCCTACCTCCCTAGCCTGCTGCCAGCATGATCCAGCCTGACATGGGCAGTGGCGTTTTCTCCTGGAGGCCAAGTTTTTTCGGATTGTAGTAATAATTTTAATAAATAAATAAAAACACTTAGTTTAGTTTCGGAAATTATTTCTTGTGTGTTGCTGCTGTGCTGGCCCGTCTCTCCCCCATTCTCATTGAGTATTTTACAAAGAGTGAAACAGCGCCCCTCTGGATGTTATGGTGAAACAGTAGATAGCACTCTCTGTTGCGAGAGGAGGCCAGCCGAAATTGGCTTCTCTTGGTGAAAAAAAAGGGAGGGATTGACCAATCAGATGAGGCTTCATGCCCCTGCCAACCTGTGATTAGTCAGGGCCAGAGCCCTAGAGAGATATCTCTCTAGGGCTCTGGTCAGGGCCATGCTAAGGGAAGCCAAAGACGGCTGGCTTCCCTCACAATCCAATCAAATCAAATGTTGCAGTGACGCATCCTAAAACCCGGAAGTAAGCTGCGCGCGGTTTCCCTCGACAAAAAAGCAATGGGATTTCACCATAGGATTTTGGAAAATAGCTCTAATGCGGCTTTCACACCAGCGCTTTTCCCTTTCTAGCTCCGAGCTAGAGATTTTCTGGTTCAGCTCCGGTTTCCCTTTTCTGTTCCCGCTCTGTTCACACCGCCCCAGCACCCGACTGGTGCTGCCGCTGCTGCGTCATGACGTCACCGTTTACATCGCTGATTTGCTCCCCAACGGCATTACGGCGCTCACAACAACAACAACGGGGAACTGCGTCGGGTCAATGATCGTGTTGCTTTTAATCACACAGCCAGAATAAATTGAATAACGACTTCTCCAACCTTATACTTTGCTCCAGAGTGCCGTGGTTCATTGTTTATTAGTGTGTTTCTGCAGCATTTACCGACCGCTGCAGTGTTGGCTGCTCTTCCACGGGAGTTTATTCTCCCGTTAGCTCCCGGTTAGCTCACACTGCAGCGGCCGCTCTAAAGTATTCACTGTCCGACTCACACAAGCAGCTGATACATATCCCCAGATCCCCTTAGCCTAAGTGAATGTGTGTCAGTCTGAATTGACGCTGTTTGGCATCACAACGCTGTTATGAAAGTTTCTCTGGTATAAAATGGGTGATGTTAGCATAGCAACCGAAGCTAAACTGACTACTTGCTATTGCTATCCTATTGTGGCATAAACCGTTTTCTACAGGCACATTTTACCGGCGTATTTTTATTATGATTCTACTTGTGATAGTCGGACACGACAACCGTGCAGCCCATGTATTGATTCCTTCCGATAGCTATATAATACAAAACAACACGTCTTCCTCTCTCCACTATGATCAATAACAGTGAACGGATGGTCAAAGTAAAGTACAAATAAACAGAATCACACCTGACTTTATAAAGTGTGTTTATAAGCACTACTGCTTGTAGGCAGGCATGACAGTCGACCCATGTTCAGGGGAGGTGGGTTTAGTTTCCTGCACGCCTCGACGTAAGAGAGACGTAAGCGACGCCGCCTCTTAGCTCCGAAGCTCTTGCCTCTAGACCGACAATTTTTTGGAGCTGGAAGTGAACCGGATTCCGGAGCTAAGAGCCGGCGCCGCTGCGGTGTGAACAGGAAAAACCGGCGCTTTTCAGGCTTCAGCTCCGAGCCGGAGCTGAAAAAGCGCTGGTGTGAAAGGGGCATGAGAGGATCTTATAACGTCAGCTCAGTGAGGTAAGGACTCTCTCAGTGTTTAGATAGTTCACTTTAGTGTAAGTTATCTCAGTGGGTCTCAAACGGTTTGGTCACCATTTATGTAAGTATTTTTGAGGAATACCTTTATATGATCATTATAGTTATTAAAGAGAGAATAAATGAAAAACGGGTATGAAATACTATAGGACAGTAACACAAGAATACAGTTTAAAAGGGGAATGATTAGTAAAATATCCATAAAGAAAAAGTAAATCTGTGTACAGTTCTGTTTCATATGGATGCTGAGAGATGTAGGCTATCCATAGATCTCTTCATTTTGCTCTCGAAGTGCACCAGATTGATGCATTTAACTTCAATATTTTAAAATAATCTTCCCCGGGGAGCATGCCCCCAGACCCTCCTAGAGGAGGTTAGGTCCACCCCCACCTAAAACATGTTCACATGGATAGGATACTAAATACATTTGCACACTTTTTATATGGTGGCCTATGTCCATATCAAATCAAGTTTTATTTATATAGCACATTTTTCAACGATTTTTGGTCGAGCCAAAGTGCTTTACATATAATAAAAAATAACCTACAGTAAAGACACTTTACAGCAAATACAACAGCACAGTTTGTGCAGAATATCAGTATGAGAAAATGACACCCTCTGTCCTTATATGTTTCTGTTTTGGTGGTCGTGCCACAAACGTGCATGTATGCACAAGTCATAGGTGCGCTATACAATAGCACTACACCCCTGCAATGTGTATGAAAAGATGTTTTTTTTAATTGAAGTTGCGTTGGTGTTTGTGTGTTGGTTGTTGACGGCAGTGTGTGCCCCCCCTTGGTAAATGATTCCCCCCCCCCATTCAATTTGTTCTAGAGCCGTCCCTGATCTGTGGCATTGTGCTGTGTGATAAAACTGAAAATGTTTAGAGTGGCCTTTTATTGGGGCCAGCCTAAGGCACACCTGTGCAATAATCATGCTGTCTAATCAGCATCTTGATATGCCACACCTGTGAGGTGGGATGGATTATCTCGGCAAAGGAGAAGTGCTCACTATCACAGATTGTTTCAGATTTGTGAACAATATTTGAGATAAATGGTTATTTTGTGTATATATTAAATGTTTTAGATCTTTGAGTTCATCTCATGAAAAATGGGAGCAAAAACAAAAGTGTTGCGTTTATATTTTTGTTCAGTGTAATTTCAGGCTGATATTTCCACATGCCATCATCGGAGGGTAAGAGAAGTTAAGTTTATGGTGTTCATATTAAAGGCCTTGGTACCATCTAGTGGTTGTTCATGGTACAGTGTTTATCTAAAGCTGTACAACAACAATGGTATCTGAACACAATCTGATTGTTTATTAACCCCGAGTAGAAAATGACATACACATACATTATAATTAAAACGTGACTTAAATGTTAACAGGTATATTAGTGTGCTAAAGTATCAAAAGCAGCTTCAAGCTTAGTCACCCCTAGAGTGTTAAATTATTGAGGTGTTAAAGTAAACTGAGGGGGAAGACTCAAGTTCTACTTAAATAAAAGGAAACTTAATTAACCAAAAAGTACTCATAATGCCAAATAGCCCATTACAGACAAAAATAATGGTATTCAATTATGATTATTGATGCATTAATGTTTAGATCACTTTAATGTTGCAACTGGTAAAAGTGGAACTATTATTTTGAGACGTAAAAAGGAGATCAGTCTTATTCCAACCTATATAAAATTGGATTATCATTTATTTCCTTTTTTGTCCTACATGCATATTTGCAAAGTAACAAATTAACAAAGTGTCAAAAGTAGTTTTGAAATAAATACAGAATTACGAAAAAACCCTGCAAGTATAATTTTGTGTGGTTCACACAACAAAAACACTGTGAATGTTTAATGAGATCATTTATTTTGCATTGGTGGTGAAAGAATAAGTCATATCACTAATGCAAACCACTGGTTCAATCGTAAACAATGTCTGGTGAGTTATTCATTTTCTCTGAAATGTATTGGAGTAGAGCCATATAGTTGCACAAACTGTACATATAAAAGTATGATTATCTTAAATGTACTTCCCACCACCGTTTTTGTTAAAATGGCTGCGTGCAAAGTGCAAATATCATTAACCAGATAAAGATAGATGAGAAAATGTTAAATGCTCATTCAAAACAATACAAAAACCAATAAAAGGCTTGGCTAAAAATATAAATAATAAACAAGTACGTTGGATGTTGTCCATGATTCAGCATCTAGTGACATCTAGCGTCTAATGATGAAGCAGCGTTTTAGTCCACTTTGACTAAATTCACCGATGGCATTAATGATGAGGCCTGGCCTGGGAGTATCCATTTAAATACATGTGACATAAGAATATTTGCCTGTCTTTAGATGTGTATGATTAAACAATGATTTCACATGTTAACATTTTGAGAGTAATAAATCATAAATATCGTATATTCAAATATGCCACTGTTATCTTGTAAAATAACTTATATGCGCGATCAAAACGAAAATGTTTAAGAGTGAGTCATAAAGTTGCAGTTAAGAGAAAGATGTGAAGAAAAAAAATTGAAATAAAACAGACGATGATACAGCTGATGCTGCAAATCATTGTCATATAATCTGGTTTTCGTTCCTCGCTTTCACTTTCTCATTTACACATGATTTTGTTGAAAAGAGAAGAAAATAGAAAAACTCAAGAAGTGTATAGTAAACAGTAAACACTATTGTTTATCAATGCAGTGTTGCTATGCCTTTTACATCACATTGAATTAGGCTATTTGCTTTTTGTAAACATAACACATGAAATATTTCCATATGGTAACAAGGCGAATTTTCACACTTTAGATTACATAAAGAACAGAAAACTCACCTTTAGTTAAGCAGCCATCGTATTATTCCATATGGAGGTGATGCTTTGAAGGAAGATCCATCTAGAAATGAGGTACACGTTTGGATAACTGGAACAAAGAAGCAGCGGTTGGTGCTGCACTGCTTTCATTTTTACTTTAGTCAAGCCTTCAGGCGAAATGGAAATGGTTAACGTTATTCAGAGCAGCTGAGCCAGGCTGAGGTCCGGTTATCAACATCCCCTTCACTCCACAGTGGACGGTGCCACTAAACATTTTACAAACAAAAATGCACGGATTGTCTTATATTCAATTGTAAAAAATAATGCACAGCGCTTTTTAAATGTCTAAGCATCCTGTTTGCACTGAACTGAAAGTGAAATGACTAACTTCCACGGAAACAGATGACACGTCTTTATGGTGTTTCCCCATCTATTTAAAGCATAGTGTAGAATAGATATAATAAAAAGGATAGTGCAAGATACACCAAAAGGTTTTTATTTTAATTCAGATATTTGTATTAAAATATAGAATGAAAACATTTAAAAGTGAAAGCATGGTGCAGCCAGTTTACTGTTAAATAGCTGCTATATTAGCTTAAGCATTACAGAGCATTACAAAACAGCCTCTGTTGATGTACTGATAAAAGTATGATTGTACTTTCTAGCAATTTGTGTATGTTATTTTACATCATTTTAAATGGAAATGGAAATGTGAAAACACATATTTTTTGGGTAAACTGTAAGAATAAATACCAGCAGTCACAAAATAGGCTCTCTGGTGTTAAACATGATGTGTGTCCACTGGATTTTTGCTGATAAACAAGAGGAAATGTCATATGATTAAAGACTAATATATTATATTGAATTGGCATCAATCTACCTGAATGAATGAGATGACTACACATGTTTCATGACTGCAACATCTGTGCTAAAACATTCATTATCTTTATGTCTCATTGAATCTTGTTATGATGGATTCACATGCAGTGATCTGATACTTAACCATTTATAAAGGCTAAGAAGAGAATGCTTTCACAAACACAACGAAGCTCCTCAATCTTAATTATAATACATATAACCATGCAGTCTTCAATTTCCTGTGTCAAAATGTTAAATTTATAAAAATGGCTTGACATCGTGCTTCACAATAAGTTAGGTGGACATTTCATACAATAATATATCAAACAGAATCACACACAATAAATGATAAGAGTAACTTTATTTAAAACAACATCTTATTGAGCAATCATGTGAGTATAAAGAAAAATACAAATCACAACTATAACCTGGATTCTTTATTCTGATAATCAGTCGCGCTCTCTCCATTTTCATCTTCCTTTGCTTTCTTCCGTCTTCCCCTGTTTAAACATAAACAGAAGATTTAGCAACAGTTTAACAGCAGTGCTATTAAAGATCATGTTGGACTTTACATTTCTCCTGACACTACAAACAGTCTTGTGCTGCATGTGAAAGAGAACAAAGCTTTCAAACGTGCAACATGCATCATATACTGTAACATACAAATATAAATAACAGCAATATAGTAACCAATTTTGACGTCTATTTGCTCTTCATTGAAGATAAAAGCAATCAAAAAAAAACTTGAACGTGTCATTGCCTCACAACTAAAATCCCCCCTCAGCTCCAGCACCGAAACAGCTCTTCTCAAAATAACAAACGACCTCCTCCTCTCCTCTGACTCCGGCAACCTGAACTCCTCGAATCATCACTCAACATCACCGACACTGCACTCTCCTGGCTGACATCCTACCTCACCGACAGACATCAGTGTATCAACATCAATAACTGCACCTTCTCCACTGCTCCTCTGTCCCAAGGCGTCCCCCAGGGTTCGGTGCTTGGCCCCCTCCTCTTCATCCTCTACATGCTCCCTCTTGGCAAAATCATTCGTCGCCACAACCTTCAATTTCACTGCTACGCCGATGACATCCAACTTTATATCTCAACAAAAACCATCACCCCCACAACACACTCCACTCTCACCAACTGTCTCTCTAAAAGCATGGATCCAAACAAACAATCTCCAACTGAACAGTGCCAAATCAGACATCATCATCGGCCCCCCATCCCGTACCAAAACCATCCAGAATGTCAACTTCACCATTGACAGCAACACTCTACCCCCCCCCCCTCACAACCGCAACCTCGGAGTCATCTTCGACAGTCAGCTGAAATTCAATCACCACATCAATCACATCATCAGGACTGCCTTTTTCCACCTCAAAAACATTACCTGTCTCCGCCCATCACTCTCCTCCTCTGCTGCTGAAACCCTGATTCATGCATTCATCACATCACGACTCGACTACTGCAATAGCATCCTCTAGGGCAGTGGTTCTCAACTGGTCAGGCCTCGGGACCCACTTTTTCCTTTGTCAATAAATCGCGACCCGAAATTTGAACCACTCAAATCTATTCAACAAAAAATCGTGCTGTAATATACGCTTTTCAGCATACAATATTAATTAAAGTGAAGTACAGTGCATATATCCCTTATATCCCTTCACAGAACTAAAGTATGCTTTTAAAGAAGGTTTAATGAGATGATGGAATCAAAGCTGAACTGTATAACATAAAAAGGCAGACATGCTGAAAACCCAACCCCAGAAGGGGGGTCTGGGGGGATTCTCCACCAGGAGATTTTTTTAAATACTAACATATAAACTACGCATTCTGGTACACTCTGAGAAGAAAATAAATACATCTATTACTACTCGACATAATAATATGTTATGCCATTGTTTGTTTTTCACTTTGTTCTGACAGCTGAACTTGTCTGTGTGAATGACTTTAAATTGTGGGTAGGGTAGATAGCCCCCATTGTTCTGTGAGCTGTCAATCATCAAACCGGGGGCCATATTTCATTATGTGTTCATTTGTATCTGAAGTTGTATCCATGGATGTATAAAGAATAGTTGACTTCCGGCAACAATCTTGATTCTGATTGGCCAGCAGACTCGAAAAAACATCAGCAAAGATGTTTTATTGAGAAGATGATCACTACGTGACAGAAGTTTTCAAAACCGTTTCAAGTCTCCGGTACTTCCAGTCCAACGCCTACTGCATGCACAGCGTTAGAAATCGGGCTTTCAAAATAAAAATGTGACATTTTCCCCAAAATAATTTTTCTTTAATAATTGTTGTGTTTCAATTTTTTGTCTTTTTATTTAACCTTTATTTAACCAGATAAAAGCATTGAGATATAATCTCATTTGCAATGCTGACCTGGCCAAGAAGGCAGCAACGTTACACATAACACAAACATATAAAATACAGAGAACATAACTAAGAAAACAAAAGACGAAAAAGCAGTCACTACATTGTGCACATTAGGACAGTAAGAAAGGTGCACTACTTATTACTAAGAGCAGCTCGTGGTAAGGAATTCAGACAACTTCAATTTAAAACATGCTATTGAGACAAGTGCCGTCAGTTTGAGGCATGATTGAAGGTCATTCCAAGACCAAGGACCATAATAAAAAAGACTCCTTTTCCAAGCCTCAGTCCGCACAGCAGGTACCTGGAACCGTATCCAGGCACTGGATCTGAGGTTGTAAGAGTCACAAACTGGAGCAAATCTGGCACATATGTACAGTGGAAGCTTACCTAAAATGGCTTTATACATTAATAAAAACCAATGCTGCATCCTACGCATAGTAAGTGAGGACCATCCAGTTAGGCTATACAGTTGGCAATGATGAGTCCTATAGGGTGCATTTGATATATAACGCAGTGCAGCATGGTAGAGTGGGCCAAGTTTGGCCAAAACAGTGGGACAGGCAAATCTATAAATGGTATCACCGTAGTCCAGCTGGGACAGGAATAAGTCAGAGACCAACCTTTTACGGGTGAAGTTGAAAAACAACATTTAAGTCTGTAAAGGAAGCTGAGAGGCAATCCGTCAGTTTTGCCAACATGCGGGCTGACAATTAATCCCAGGAAAAAAGCGAACACAAGGGTAGCTTTAGGCAACATTGTGCCTTAACACACCCAATTCAGGATCCGCAGCTCAGGTCGATCAACAGCTCAGGTCAATCAGCCCCCGACAGCACGGCAGGACAGACAGCAATCCAGAGTCCGAAAGAGCAACAGCTCAGACAGAGAGCAAACAATCCAGTCACAGCGAGGCACCGGCACAAAACAGCCCAAACACTTAAGCTTTTAAAACGTTTTTAAAAGTGCAGCAGACCAATTTAAAAACGGGTCTAAAAATCTAAATAAAAATTATAAAATGTCAGTATGCACAAGAAGAACGAGAATGAGACAAACACTAACAGAGACAGAAACAAATCAACGTGCTGCCATCTTGGAACACACACATCTGCGACCCACTCGAAAAGGGTCCGCGACCCACTTTTGGGTCGCGACCCACCAGTTGCTCTACGGCATATCATCCAACCTGATCAATAAACTCCAACATATCCAGAACTCTGCTGCCTCCTCACCCACACCTGCTCCCGAGACCACATCACTCCCATCCTCCAGTACCTCCACTGGCTCCCCGTCCGACAAATAATCGATTTCAAAGCAGTGGCGCTTCCCCTGTTTTTTCGGATTGTAGTTATAATTTTAATAAATAAATAAAAACACTTAGTTTAGTTTCGGAAATTCTTTGTTGTGTGTTGCTGCCGACCCGTCTCTCCCCCATTCTCATTGAGTATTTTACAAATAGTGAAACAGCGCCCCTCTAGATGTTATGGTGAAACAGTAGATTGCACTCTCTGTTGCGAGAGGAGGCCAGCCCAAATTGGCTTCCCTTGGTGAAAAAAAATGGAGGGATTGACCAATCAGATGAGGCTCACGTCATGCCCCTGCCAACCTGTGATTAGTCAGGGCCATGCCAAGGGAAGCCAGAGGCGGCTGGCTTCCCTTGCCTCACAATCCAATCAAATCGCATCAACTGAGTGTTGCAGTGACGCGTCCTAAAACCCGGAAGTATGCTGCGCTCGGTTTCCCTCAACAAAAAAGCAATGGGATTTCTCCATAGGATTTTGGAAAATAGCTCGAAATAAGGTCAGTGGAAAACGAACCTGTTAGATGAACTGTTTTGTTCAGTCGGATAATATCCACATGTCTACCATACTTTTATAATTTTCTAATCATAAATCTAATCGATAGAAGATATATAGCGTCACTGCACTACTCTCACCGCCGTTTGAAAGTAGCAAGCAACTGAAGCAAGTGCAATTATGGAGGGTGGAGATTTGGAGTTTTTAATCAAAAATAATTGTACTAAACTTCCGCTACAGCAGCAACAACAAATACAATCTGATGACAGGCCAATGCCCAAACTAGAGCTGTGTCCAGCGAGGAAAAAAGGAGCGAATCGGACATAAAACGTTAAAGGTTTCCTGATTTAGTTTGTGAATGAATGCTTATTAGAGTTTCGGCTGGAGAGTGCGTGCGGACCTCTCGGTTAGATAACAGGCGTGTGTAAGTCCTGCATCTGTATGATACAAATGTGTGTAAAATGATACCGGGTGCTGTAATCACTCATCTGGTTACGTTATTACATTGACCACCACACCCCCGACCCAAAATAAATGACGTATTATTGGCTTCCCCTAATTTTTTCCCCACGCCACTGCTTCAAAGTCCTCCTCATTGCTCACAAAGCCCTCAACAACCAGGCCCCCCCTACCTCACAGACCTGCTGCACCACCACACTGCCTCCGCTCATCAGAAGCCAACTGCACTGACCTCACCACCTTCAAAAAACTTACAAAAACTCACCTCTTCAATCTGGCTTTTAATGTGTGATTGTTTTTGTATTGCTTGATTTTAAATTTGACTTTAACTATATATATATATTTATTTGTTGTTCTTTTCTTTTCACTATATCTGTAAAGCGTCTTTGGGCACCTGTAAAAGCGCTAACAAAATAAATCTATTATTATTATTATTATTAATCAGTGAGAGTGGTAAAGAGTTTCCCCTTAACTATGATGATACAGAATCTTAATGTGATCAAGAGGACTTGGAACTACATCTGTAGTAGAGACGTGTATAAAGAAACACTGTGACGAGTAGACATGCAGTATGTGAGTAGTGCAACTTGCTGTAGTGTAAGCTCACCCGCATATCAGCTGCATTTGTGCCATGGTTTCTGGTAAAGGCTTTCCAAAAGTTTCTGGCAGCAGGAAACACAAGAGGGCCCCACAAAGGGCAAACCCACCCATCAATATGTATGGTAATGACTTGTTGTATTGTCCTTTAAAAAAGCAGAAAATACCACAATAAAGGCAAGGAATTACTCATTAAACAAATAGAATTACTTGTACGACTGTGTAATTGAGATGAAAAAAATAACAACGGTTCTATGCTTTCTGAACAATTATTTTTGAGAGAATAAAAAGAAAGAAACTTGTTTCAGCACATTTTCAGCAAACTAAAGCTTGAAGTAAAGACAAGAGACCAAGGGCGTTCTTAATGCAGTAGGGCTTCAATTAAAGATGTCGATTTTTAAACCTTTTTTTTTTTAATGAAATGTTAAAAAAGTGAACAATAGTGATTCACAGTGCATCATAGGCTACAAAAATGTCTTGGTTGGTTTGCTTATTCTGTCTGATTAAATCCTTAGAGAAAAACACATTTGACTTTTCTTTACTTTTAATTAAAAAAGTAAGTATAGGCCTACCGTATACCTTAAGCTTCAGATGTTCAACTTACGCTTTCTATATGTCATAACATTTTTTACATTTGAGAAGAACCATCAAATATTTGGCTTTTTGCTTCAACAAGGCAGAATCAATTGTTTGAATATCGATTAATTCTTAGTGGCTGGACAAATCAACTCTTCAACTGTACAACAGCTGCAGCTCTACACTACAGAAATAAGAAAATAATAATAAACTGAATTGATTAGAAAGAAATGCCCTCACACTTGCTAAATGCTCAAAATATAAAACGTATTACTTACCCAGGTAAATGATAAAAGGGGAGATGATGCTTCCAATGCGAGCAGTCATGGAACAGCAGCCCATCGCTGTGCTTCTGATGACGGTGGGGAAGAGCTCCGATGAGAACGTGTACACCACACAAAATGCAGATGTCATGCCAAATCTGCCCAAAATCTCCAACAACACAGGCACAATCTCTGAATCTATAAGGCAATAAGAAGAAGAGGCATATGAAATATACGATACATCCAACACATCTAAAGCCCATTCAATTAGCCTTGTTTTTCCTTCTGACTTGTGAAAATTGTATATTTTAATTGTTTTACTATTGTCCAATACTTTTATCACCAGCAAAACTAATGTAATTCCTAACAGTCTAAGCTGTACAATTTGGATCTATTTGGATCTTAGTGTACGCTGCTTGTGATTCGTCCTTGGAATGTCGCCTCACAAACCTAATTTATAACACTTTAAATGCAAGGGTTGATCATTATTTTATCTCAATTGGCCAAAATGACTTAACAGACGTTTATATAAATACACATTGTAATAGAAGATTGTATTTTTATTTTATATATGTTTAAAATCACAACTGTTGTCAACCAGAACTATGTACATGTTGTTGTTCATGTTATGCTGCAAAGATTTAGCATTCCGTCCATTAAGTGTGACAGAACAGTTTTATTCATCTATAGAAAGCAAAGTATTACCTGTTGGGATGATGTGAACACAGAGGATCATCACGCCTCCGAAGAAGAGTGTAGAAGATTGGCACAAGTGCCTGGAGCAGTATTGGAGCAGTAACAAGGCTATTATGTAAGCCGGCAATTGTACTAAGCCAGACAGGAAGCAGTTTAAAAAAGGGTCGCCGTTCAGGTTTGAAGTGTTGAGGACTAAACCGTAGTAGCCAATGGTGACAACAATCCTGCAGAGACATTCAAGACAACAAATTGAGTACACATAGGATGGGAGACACACATTTGGGATGGATCTGTAATATTTACATTGTTTTGTAGAGTGATTTTTGAGTTAAAGAGAAGATTGTAGACATACCACAGCATTGAGCACAGCACTGTAATGGAGAACATATTGCAGCTGCTCACAATAACTGAAAAGTTGTATTTCTTGTCTTTCCTAGACATTGTATCGTCAATCTTGGAAAAAGAAGAAAATACATTTGCAACAATTAAAAACATCAAATCCTAAACTGTGAAAATAGCCCTGCCACTCATGTAACACACATTTGTCACTGGCAGTTTTTAAAATAAAAAACTTGGATGTTAGAATCAGTCAAATGTAGTTGAGTAAAAAGTACAGAATTCACAAAACAGAATAGTATATTGAGTTGATACTTGACTACAATTACCTTACATGGACTTAAAATCACACTGTACATTTTACATTTATATCCAATGTAATATTTAATATTCCATTCCTTACTTATATATGTATATATATACACATATATATGTATATATATGCATATATATATATACATATATATATATGTATATATATGCATATATATATACATATATATGTATATATATACATATATATATATATATATATACATATATATGTATATATATACATATATATATATATATATAATATCCTGCTTTATATTTATATTATGTATATATTCTACTTTTTAATCCTATTTTATTGCTATTGAGATGACATTTTGGAATGTTTATTTCTTTAAATTGTTATTGTACAATGCCATGTATTTGTATGCTGTTGCAACACAAACATTTCCCAACTTGGGATCAATACAGTACTTCTTATCTTATCTTACAACAGGAAGATGTAAAAAACACAATAAGTAAACTCTTTTTACTTTTACTAACATTCTGAGTCAGGAATGGTTTATTTGTATAACTTGTTAAAAATAAACTAGCAGCTTACCTCAGCTTGTGTGAAAATGGCCTTTGGAGGCTCCACATTGTTGCTCTTAGCGGCTCCTATCAGTATGGCCTCCGCCTCCTCCACTCTGCCCCGAGACAGCAGCCAGCGAGGAGACTCTGGGACTAACCTGCAGAACAGGGAAACAACAATATCAGCACATGTACATAGTTCTTAATATACCATTTGGACTAAATGCAAAACATTTTGACAATGTTTACCTATAAGATTAAAGCATATGGAGATAGCCATTATATTAGCTATTAGAGAAAAGAAAGCCTTAGTGATGAATAACTAGTTGGTTTAGCAAATACACATCTGGTCGATCACCATTGTATCTCAGGAACATGCTTCTTTCTTAAAGTTTCTACTTACAAATTCCTTTCAATATAAATGTGTTCTAACCATGCAAGCAACGTACGTTTTCTGTATGAGAGAGCAAGCTTTAATACAATACATAGAAATTACTTACTAGGGATTGCCATGAGTTTATACTGTTTAACAGCACTTTTTTGGCTACATATACAAACTTATTTATTGATAAATACAATGATAAATTGACCCTGTTCTCTACCAACGTTTTCAATGTTTTGAATGGGACACAGTGTTGTTACTGCTATCTATGAACATCTGAACAGTTTGCAGGAGATATGCTCCTGTTTATATGCTTTGTTGACGAACGCTTACACTAGCTTATCGTGTCTGTTAACCCGAAGTAACACATATGAGAGCAAATAAGATGTATGAGGTAAATGCAGTTACATTTCGTGGCTGATCCGCAAAGTGCAGAAAAGATAGTTTCAACCACAGACTGGCAAAAAGCTCTTAGACTTGTATTTAATTCAGAGCCACAGTTGAAGATCAGTGTGCTACAGACACTACACATTCTGAAAGTGTTGGATGCAGACCTGATGTTAAATGTCCCTCCCTAATTCTTACCACCATATTGGGACGTAGATCAGTCCAGATGCAGCCATGGGAATCAGCAGCATCCGCCAATCACGGAGGAAGTAGGCTACAGCTGGCATTGCCAGGTAACCCATGGCTGAGCTCATAAACACACCCATGGAGCAGAAGATCACTCTGGACTTTGGGCTTAGTATTTCAGTTCCTGTACCAAAATAAATGAGAGCGTATCAATAAAAACCTGAGACTGGAGTTTCTGAGTGATTTTGCCAGTCTGTTCTGTTGGGGGACTTTATGTGAGATCAATAGCCAAGTAATTGAATCACTACATTGATCTGTGTTTTGAAAGCTTGCATTACACACTTGAATACACCACAGTTTTTATCTTAGGCCCCAATACGTTTTGAATCACAAACTTGTTTTACCTACCAGGTTAGAGAGGTCAACATGACATCTACAAACTTGTCAAGCAGTATCAAATATAACATGTTCCAAATCCTGACTTGAAAACATACCTAGCACAAATGCAATGGTATAGTTGGAGAACCCGCCAGCACCAACAAAGAAGAAAATGAAGCAGAAGATCTCCCAGTTTGGAGAGAATATCTGTGCAGTGATCGCCACTGTCTGAAGAATCATCATGAGAAAGAGGGCTGGCCTCCTTCCATACCTGTGAATGAAATACAGTTTAGTGAGTTAGTAACTGCAATTCTAATATTATAATTGATTGTTAAAGTATTCAGACTATGAAGTACCAACCTGTCAGACAACTGGCCTGAGATAAATGCTCCCACTAGCACACCGATGTAATTGATCGAGGTAGACAGTGGAAGTTTGTACTTATTGTCACACACCAAGTCCCACTGCAAACACAAAATGTTTTCTTTAGGGCATAGCTGTGTGAAAATGAATCACCTCTAATTCATATGCGTGACATTCTAAGACACAGTTTAATCACAGTTATAAAGCTGTACAATAACCAAATGTATATCATATAACAGTAGTAATATTCAAAGCCTAGTAGAAGAAGTAGCTGATGCAAAATATCAAACACATATAAATGTTATGAGTAATATTGGCCGCAACAACACACAACAGGTCACTTTTGTGTTTACATCATTATAAGCAGCAGTCGTAGTAATCACATTGTTGTAAACTTAAATTATAATAATTTTTCTTCTTTTGTTGATTCTAGCAACTTTTAGCTTCCTGAAAACTAGACACTTTGATGAAACCGGAACACAAAAATTACACTTCAGAGATTTAAATTGATGTCAGACACTGAAGATTAATTGAAAGTTACGGGTGTAGACTTGACAAAAACACTTTCTGAGACACCATATTGACACAGCCTCTGCCAAAACCAACTCTGACGTTCTCCCATGTCACTTACACTTAACCACTTCTAAAAATATAATCAATATTATACTTCATGACTTCCCTGTTATTGTCTGAAGAAGGGATTATTTTATGGTCATGTCTAGGCCACAGCTGTGGTTAAATGCCAATTACAAAGAAAGGGCCTTCCTTATCACACTAGTAGAAACAGCTCTCCCAAGGCCGTTTGCCTGTGTTTGGAAAGAGAATTCAGAGGAGAGCAAAAAGCTAAAACGATTAGAACATAAACTAAATGGCCATATTAATAATTCCCTATCAGACATAACAAATGATACGACCATTTCTCTGTGGAAATCACGAAAACATGCTCAAAGGGAAAATAATTGATGACTTATTATCACTCACCTCTGTGACAATGGTTGACTGGTAGATTTCTTTGCTGTATGTCCACCCATCCAGACACTTCTCCAGAGGAATTTCACTCACATTTACATCCACATTTGGGATGATATTATTCTGAGAGTAGTTTCTGACAATGTCCAGGTTAAGTCTTGAGCAAGAGCTGCTCTTTGAGATGCCATCAACCATTTCCAAAGGGATCGTCTCATTTCTCCACACCTCGCTGATACTGTAATTATCAGGAATAAAGCACTTGTGTGGAGGGGTATCACCTACAAATACAATATAGGCGCCAATAAATCCATTCGGCAGGATGCTGAAGGCCATTGCTAAGAAAATCCTTAGCTGAAAGGGTCCCCAAGATCCAAGAAAAGACGTGATTGTGTCATAATCTCTAATTTCCGAACTGTCCATTACCTCATTAGTCATTGGCATTTAAAAAAGGAAAAAGGTAAGCAGACACTGATTGAATACTGATAGACGCAAGAGAGTGTGCTCTACTGCACACACTTTCTACATATGAGCAATTAAGCTGAGTTCAGGCTTTTTATGGCAGTGTGACCTGAGCTGCAGTTACACAGTTACACACTAATCTGGGTTTGCTTTAACAACGTGCTATTGCAGCCTTGCATATTTCACCATATCACACGTCGTGGCATAGACATAATAACCAAAGTTTCTGAAACTATGTGAACTTTTTCCCATTGTATAAACACAATTCCTTTTATAAACAATAATGCATAACCTTAATGGATAAATGGTTGAAATAAGTAAAAGGTTCTACATCGTAGGGTTTCTAAATGTGTTGTGCTAGAAAATAATTTCAAATATATAAGTTAGTTTAATTTGGATGTATTCTATCAAACTCAAGTAATAAGAACATTTGAGTAATATTATAAAATATAATGTTACGAAAAGAATCCTTGACAGGGGAGTTCATCATTGCCAAGCAGAGTTTAAACAATAACCAAACCAGACGTTTTATTTCCACTGATTATGGTTTTGGTTTAGAGATAGTAGTAGTAACTAGTTCTAAATTATGCATTTTGTGGTCAACAATAAACTTACGAGGGCCAGTGAGTTTATTTAGTCATTTGTATTGACTTCTTAATATAGTATTGTTAGAAATTAAAATCAATGTTTTGATGGCATAATGTACCTTAAATGTACCTTCAGTTTAAATGCTGTTGTATACTGAAAAACCAGAAAATTATTGTGCACAACCAGTTAAGCTTTTATTCTGAAAATCCTTCATCTCCGGTTAGCATGTGGCTAGTTTACCATTTCTTATAGAGGTTAATTTAGTAGCGAAATGACATGGAGTGATGCACACCGAAACCTACTGATTTTAACACTGCAACTACAGACGTATTATTATTGCTGAATATTAAATGAAGGTATAGGTTATTTGAATAAAGTTATTGTTTACAGACGTGGGTAAGATGTGACAACATCCGGAATGACCAGAAACCAAACCAGCCGTGAAGTATTTTCTGTATTTTTTAGAATATTAACTACAACGTTTAGAATGTGTTAAAGGAAAAGTGATGAAAGACAATATGAGGAGAAGAGGCGTGTTTAAGTATATATTGAATGTACAATGCCTGAATCCTCTGTTTAAACGTAACGACGGACATTAAGATGTGGAGGGCCGGCCCGCAGGGAGGAGCCTGCAGAAGCTATATAACAGCAGCACCTGAGCGGTTCGGCCTCTTTTCTCTGCTAGCGGGGAGCCAGAGGCAGCTGCTTTTCTGTCAGAAAATATCCTGTTTGTGACTTTACCGCGCTTTTTATTAATTAAAGTACCAATTTGAAAACATCTCAGAGACTCCATTTAGTCTCCTTTTTAAGCTTCGCTTTCCTGGACGCGAGAATAACCATCATAGTTAACAGTATACAACATAAAAATGCTTGAAATTCATCTGAATGTTTAAAGATGCCTTCAGATCACACTCAAAACCACTTTTTGGAATAATGCATCTAGTTTAGCAGTCAACGTTTAAACTCACTGCCATGGGAATAGGACATTATTTAATGGCCCAACCATAAAGATCAGTGTTACTTTGCATGCCAACTCCTAAAAGATATAAAATGTTTCCTTTACCAAAGTATTCAGAACACCTTTCTGCTGGGATTCAATCCTCTACTATTTTTGTCAGTGCATGGTAGACTCGGACATATAACGTATTTTTAATTTGATATATTTGGATACTTGTCCCAGCTTACATAAAGGTAAATTGTATTATAATTGATAAATAAGTTAGGTAATACATGTTGATTTTTGAGCTGTAGAGGTTGTATTGTTGTTCCTTTTGGACAGGGCGAGGCTTGCTGTTTCTAGCTGACCTTTATTACTTATCATTCGGGCATGTGAGTGTTTTTGTTCCCATATGTTCCCAGTGTGTCAACCACAGCATGCTCCAAACCTCTTTTTCACTGAAAGCAACAATGTTAAGACATTGAGAAACAAACATTTACGATCATTATTTATGTTTAAATAAAAAACAACTGATAATGGCATGGTGGTTTCCAATGTTTATATTTTAATCTCAAGTATTGTGTAACACAGACTCACATACCAATCAAACATGAACTTCAATTTCATACATACATTTAAAACCTAAACTTTTCTCTTGGAATTTTGCCAAAACATTTTTTTCGAATTAGCAAGCATCAACTGAGTAATAAAATAAACTGTTTAAAAAAAAGAAAGAAAACAGGATAAAAAAAAACTCTTGCCAGTGGACTTTTGGATCTGTCAGATTTCCAATTATTAATGTTGGAGAAATACTGTTCTCATTCATAACACTCCGTTCGATGTCTCACTATGGGATGCGCCTCAACGCATATGCAAACAGAAGCATCAATCTCATTACGCCAATCCTGATTGGCTGGTGATCTTGACGTCTACGTCAGGGAATCCGCCCACCCATTAAGTAGCTTGCGCTACGTCGCAGCGTCATTCAAACACCTCTTCTCGCATCAGAGCATATCTCGAATATCAGTAGCCGGGCTAGCTTAACGGTCCACATACTGAACCCAAGCTAACATTCGGTCGACGGGCGCTTGCCGGTTACTTTTTTGCTTTGCAGAAGAATTGAACAAATATTAACACACCAGTTAATATTGTAATCTGCCCCGCCGTTTTTTCTTTCGAAATAACGGTAAGGTTTGATTTTTTTTCTTCAAACAGTAACATACCTGTTGCTAGTTTATCCCTCCGCGCCGACACCACGGCGAGCGGGGACGGACTCTTCTCTCCCTCACACCAGAGGAGACGGAGATAAGAAAGATATTAACACACCAGTTAATATTTTTTAAAGAAAAATCTACCCCGTCGTTTTTTCCTTTCGGAATAACGATAAGGTTGGATTTTTTTTGGTAACATACCTGTTACTAGCTTGTCCCTCCGCGCCGACACCCCGGCAAACGAGGATGGACCCTTCTCTCCCTCACACTAGAGGAGTCGGAGGCTCGGCTCGGAGGCTCGGCGGCTGCGGGTTTAGGATCTCGGGCACGGACTCACACAAGGTCTGCTCGTCCTGCCTTGGGCTGGAAAACGCCCAGGAAGCTATCGATACCCCCGGTTCGTGTGGGCATTGTGCCCGCTTCACCATCAAGAGCCTCCGCCGACGGCTAGCGCGCCAAGCTAGCCTGTCGGGACGGGACCCCTTCATGTCCGTTGATTCGCCGGCCGGCAATCGAGACATGGTGGCGACCGCCGCGGAGATTGAGCCCCGCGCTGTGTCAGGCTGGGGCCCGGTGGCGGCAAGAGCCGCGAGAGCGGATCCCCGCGCTGTGTCAAGCTGGGGCTCCCAACTGGACCTCACCGTGGTTCCACCCGCGGAGGATGTCCTACAGCTGGATTATATGGAGGAGGATGAAGAGGATGCCTCTGAGTTCCTCTTGTCCGACTCGGATGAGCACGAAGATGACATCTTCGTTTCATCTGCCCAGGCTGCCAAGCCGGAGGCGATGTCCGCTCCCCCGGGCGAAAGCACACCAGCTTCGCCCTGCCTCAGTATGGACTTGCAGGCCGTGTGCCAACGCGCTGCGTCCAGGCTGGACATCCCCTGGCCTGAAGTGGCTAAGGAGACTTCCAGATCTCGCTATGAGGGGAAATTTGGGAAATGGACTTAACATCAACGACAGCAAGCTCCGCTGCTCGTTTAAGTCACACAAACACATCACGTCATCACTATTGTCTTTTAATAAATCATTTTCCACTGTCGTTTCCAGGCTTAAAGCCAAGGGCGCAGTCAATAAAAATGAAAAGAAAGACAATAAAAACAATAAACAGTCTGACGTCTACCCCCCTTCTAAGAGTGGCTGCTACCTCTCTCAGAAGGCGGACGATGGATGGGGCTGTGAAGGCATCACCGCCACGCGCATGCACAGTGTCGACCGGGGTTGTCAACCTGGGATACCACCGTGTTCAGACACTAGAGGGCCCCATAACACAACAAATAAAGACACAGAGGGCAGACGACAGGGATGTGACATCTCCACTCGCTTTGAGAAGCGAAAAGTGGAGGATGCTCACAGATTCTGCTTGGGTTTTCAAGACAATAACACAGGGTTACAGACTCCAATTCGCTGTCACCCCCCCTCACTTTTTTGGCATTCTGCATTCACAAGCCTGGGGAGAGTCGGCCCATATTCTAGAGCAAGAGATCCTCTCGCTACTAGACAAGAAGACTATATCTATAATACCCTCCGAACAGAGTCAGAGCGGCTTTTATTCCAAGTATTTCCTCGTTCCCAAACAGGGAGGGAACGGGATTCGGCCTATACAAGATTTGAGGGCTCTGAACAAATATCTCAAAAGATACAAATTCAAAATGCTCACTCACACATCTCTGTTGCGTCTCGTGCGCCAAAACAATTGGTTCAAATCAGTCGACCTGAAAGACGCGTATTTCCACATCCCAGTATATTATCCACACAGGAAATATCTGAGGTTCGCCTTTCAGGGTGTCTGTTACGAGTACAGAGTACTTCCCTTCGGTCTGTCTCTCAGCCCACGAGTGTTTGTACGGTGTACGGAAGCCGTGATAGCCCCGTTAAGACAACAGGGTATTCGCCTGGCAACTTATCTGGACGATTGGCTCCTTCTCGCACAGTCGGAGCAAGAGGCTATTACGCAGACGAATGTCCTCGTAAAACACCTGCTCGACCTGGGTTTCGTAATAAACACAGAAAAGAGCATGTTGTCCCCAGCCCAGACTTTACTCTTCTTGGGCCTACGCCTGAATTCGGTGCCCTTTACAGCCGCCTGTCAGCAGAGAGAGTGAAAGCCTTCAGGGCTTGCCTCGCTCATTTCCAGCCACGCAAATATGTTCTCTTCAGATCATGTCTGCGGTTACTGGGGCTCATGGTGGTACGACTGGGACGCTTACACATGAGGGAGTTAC